CCCTGGTGCATCTACCAACCAAGGAAACGTGAAAAAGATTAACCCAGTAACTTTGTTTTGGTAAGCCTTTTTCTGCAAGCGTCTGAGAAAACGAGCGCGTCTGATTTCGCTCCCTTGGTGACGTGGCAAAGGGATCTCATTAATCTGTAAGTTAATTTTTTCCACCCCCGGCGCTGTCATTTTTGTTTTCGCAAGCGACAACGGTGTACCAGTTCTAATGCCATGGCGAAAGTTTAAGCAAAGCATGCTAATTGTTCTGTCTTTGGCTGCACAGACGAGCACAGAACACTATTTAGAGTCCCAGCCTCAGAGGAGACAAGAGAGCAGTGGATTTATTGATTTATTTACTGTATATTGCTGCTGCCACACAGATCTAAAATAAACATGCGATTTATTTCCCAGCTGTTTACCTTCATAGACATAACCGACTGTTTTTGTAACTCATGTGTGTTTTTAACGTAAACTTGTTAAACGTGCTAATGTGAACTTAGTTTAGTCCTCACATGCTGTGGCAGCCGCTTTCTGTGCGTGTGCTTCGGATGTGTGCTCTCAGAAAACCGTATATCAGAAGTTTAAACTCATATGGTTTAAAACGCATGATTTCAGAGCGATAAACATGACAATCAGAACCAAAGCTGATGTTTTTAGCAGGTACGAGCTGTAATGGCGCAGCTCTATTCTAAAAAAGGGTGCGGGGAGCAGCAGCTCATTTGCATTTAAAGAAACGGGCACGAAAAACAGCGTGTTTCTGCTTCCACTCAAAATGGGCATTTTCAAAATGATATAATAAATGATCTGTGGAGTATTTTGAGCGGAAACTTCACAGACACATTCTGGGGACACCAGAGACTTGTATTACATATTGTAAAAAGGGGCATAATATGTCTCCTTTAAGCACAAACCCACCGGCCAGCCTGGAAACATCCCACTCTCCCACTTCTTCTCAAACTCTGCCAAGATCTTTCCATAGAGCTCATTCTGATCCAGCAGAGGCTTGACCCGATCCGTGTATTCCTGCAGGTACTCCAGCAACATCTCCAGATACCTGCAAGAGCACAGACATGAGACCACTGACCAGAAACAACATGCATTCAACTAGACATCAGCAGCTTTCAAACGGAGTTTATCCAACACACACTCCACAAGCTCTGACCCATCACATTTAATCCAATGATCAACAGAAAGTCAACATTTCATAATAATAAAAAAAAAAGTTAAAGATTACACAATATAAAGCATGGATTATGTGGTAGAGCTGAACGATTTGGGGAAAGAAAAAAAAACCCCACTGTGATTTTTTTCTGACACAAATTGCGATTGTTTTGTTGTTGGCAGCAGGTTTAAACACTTCTCATTACAAAAGTTCATGTGGAGCTAGGACTGGACGATATGGCCAAAATTGATATCACGATATATTTCTTAATTTCGGTCGATACGAGCAGCATTTAATGCCAACCTAGTCACTCGGAGTCACTGAAAACAATGTTATCATGAGATGCACGCGAGTAAATCAGCACAGTGCTGCATTTCATTCTGAAACAAAAGATCTGGTTAATTAAAGGGGTCATGAACTGAGAAATCTAAATTCCCTTGATCTTTTCACATACAAGAAACGTTCTCATTAGTCTAAAAGCAGCTTATATTGAAGCCAATCTGCCAAAAAGACAGCTTGTGGAATGTGCCGCTCTATGATGTAATAGTGTGGCTAAACTCCGCCTCCGCAGAAGATCATCAACGCCTGCTTCTACATCACTGCCTGTTTAGCACTGCCCACCGATTCTACATCACTGACTGTTTAGCCCCGCCCACCGATTCACGCATGTAGTGTAAATATCGAGAGAGACGAACGCAGGTCTACACAGAAACCAAACGATAAAGATGCTCCAAAGTCATCAAGACGCTGTGCAGTGCTAAGCTGTGGAAAAACACATCTTTGCATCGCCTTCCATCAGATCCCAACATTAGGAAAGACTGGATGAACTTTATTTTTACTGAAGATCCAGATCGCATCAGTGAGAACTAGGTCGTTGTTCACATCATTTCACAGTGGATTTGTTTACAAGCAAGGCACAATTCGACTCAGGATTTTCAGAAAGATTGAATCTAAAAGATGATGCTGTGCGACTATATTGGATCTGACAGTAATGTCGCACCACACAAGTGAGTAACTTTTTATTACGTGATCACTATTGCTTTGTTTGATATGAACTGAGTATTTATGCGTTTTTGACCTAAATCACAGCAGCGTCCATCTATGTAGGCTGTCAAACAAACACAACTGTTAGCCAATCACAGCAGTGATCGTTTACTTCTGAGTTTACAATCCACCACACCGGTTCACACAGAGCGTTCAGATGAGGGGCTCAAAACAGGACAGAAAACAGCCTTTTACTGCTAAAACATTATGTCTTTGATGTAAGAATCTTGACAACATTATAAGTGGATCTCAGAGAACAGTACAAAATTTTAAAAAAGCAGTGCATGACCCCTTTAAACTGCAGCAATTGCTATATTATAATTACACTAGGCCATAATTTTATTTCGATTTTATTTCAATCAGTTATGTGGCATTTAAATGGCCAACTTTCACCTACTTCTTATACTCTGCATTCTTCCTGTCTTTAGAGATGTCAAAGAGCTGATCGAATGTTGACAGATAAGTGACATACTCCAGTTTCTAGAAGAGAGCAACAGACACAGAAGTATAAGAGTCTTTTCTTCAATTGTTTGAAGGCATGATAATCAAATAAGAAGCCGGACAGTACCTCCACTCCTTTAAGATTAATGTACTTCAGGTAGCAGTCGTGGAGATCCAGGTAGCGTCCGTAACCCTCTTCATCAGTGAACTCCACCAGATCTGTGACCAGCATTGAGACCGTTACCGTCCATTCACAGCACATATCAGCGCCAACAGCAAACAGCGCTCACGTTACTCCAGACTTACTTTGTGCCTCCTCACTGGGGTTGTCTTTGGCTTTCATGAGCTCTTCAAACTCCACTGACATGGGCACACAGATCTGCAATCGACACACAGAACGAGCGGAGTGAATATTTCTCTCTGAGACAGAAGCGTGTCGTTCAGGACAGAGCACTTCACAGCCGTCTGTACCTCGTTAGGGTGTTTTCTGTGGAACTCCTTGATCACTTTGAGTCGGTTGTAGAACTCAGCGAACTCGTTGGGTCCCGATATTGCATTCAGCTCATCCTTCCTCATACTGACGAACAGACACACAACACCGCCGTGAGATCGCACAAAATAAGCCCGATATATTTCTATACTGACTCGGATGTCCTTGAGATTGTCTTACCCGTCTTTGTCTTCGTACAAGTCTCTGAGGTTTGCGCTCACTTCCATGTATCTCTGCAAGAATCAAACAACGCAAACACACCAGCTTCATGCATTCACGCAGATTGCAGGATTATGAATTTGAGAATGAATTAGGACACAAAGGAAAAGATGAATCTCACATCCAGCATAGCTCTCACTCGATGATCGGAGTTGATCTGGTCTCTCAGCTGTTGAACAGAGAAAAGAGAAGTTGTGCTGAATAGGAACACTGCTAAATGTCTCCATGTAGATCTAAACCTAACTTTTGAAGGTACTTCCAAAAACAAAAAACAGATAAGAAACACAAAGTACCCTTCTCAAAAAGAGCACCCAACGGTTAATCAAGCATAACAACTACATGTAGAAGTAATAAAGATATAACGTTACTCGTAAAACAGGCTGAGATAAATTAAAGCATCATGAAAACTAAAGTATAGATAGTTTGGTGTAATAAACCGACAGTATAATGTTGTGTATAATGTAGCATAACACACATAACTTGACTTTAATCACTGCTGGGCGTAACTAGTTTAAATAGTGTTCGTTTTAGTTTAGTTTATGGTTATTAATAACATGATGTAACGGTTATGTGTTAGCACCATTTTAAACCCATTCAAAGATCCGTAGAGTTACCGTGGTTTTTTTCGTTAGCATCTCCTTCGTTTTGGCGTCCATCAGTCTCTCTTTCTCCTCGTGGTACCGACGCTGCTGCTCTAAAATCGTCTCCATGGTAGTTTAGTAGTTTCGGGATAGCTGCTTTATTCAATTGTTGTTTAGTTCAGTCTGCGTACGCGCGTGTAACGTGCAGGAAAGAAATCCCGTGCTCATTTCGCTCGGCCGGAAACATTGACGACAGAATAAAGGTTCCGACTTCAAAAAAAAAAATGTTTTGAAATTTAAAAAATCGCTACTTCATCGGAATTGTATAAAACACGATGACTTTTATGGCAGTCGCTATGTGGAAAAATAAATATCATGGATTCGAAAAAGCTAAACGTAAAAGAAATAGTCACACTTGTGTTGTTCGCGTATAAAAATGACCGCCATTGGAAATGAATAAGAAATATTTGTAATTAAATACAGTAAATATTTAATGAGTGTCTAGAGCCAGTTGAGTTAATTTCTTGTTGATATAGACCTGGCCACGCTTTAGAATATAAAAACGAAAACATTTTCGCAGTTTTGTCCATCTCCAGCTCCAGCATATGACTAGGAACACAGAGTATTAACAAAGTCTTAATATGTATTAAGTATTAATATGTATTAATAGAGTAGGCCTATTAATTTGCCCGCTGTTTTCCGTTGCATTTAGGCACATTTGGCCAGCAGATGTCCTCAGCGTGTGTTCATCAGAACGAATAATAATAATAATAATAATAATAATAATAATAATAATAACTACCTGCTTCATTATAGACGCGTCCACCTCCGCTGGCTTCTCAGATTTTGCTACTGTGCTCACAAAAAAAGATGATATGATAATGATATTAATCGTTGAATAATTTATGCTAATAAATAATTATAATAATCAGACCCGCTGCTGTGGCATTATAGACTCCATTACTATTTCTTATTTGTTGTTGTTGTTGTTGTTGTTGTTTTGTGTGTTTGTTTGTTTTTTCCTGTAGAAGTTTTGTCTGTTCTGTCCTTTATGTATTTGTTTAATGTTTACATAATAATAATAATAATAATAATAAAGACTCCATTACTGACAGGGAAGTGGCTTCCAGTATAATACTTTTTTTGTTGTTATAGTGTAAAATAACTACATGTCAGTCATAAGATTTGTAGGGTAAGGGTGCGGTGGACTCGTTATGATTATGAATCCGAGGCAGCATTATGAATAACTTTGATCACTGGCACACACTTGTGATGTTTACAAAGCACAAGAGACACAAATCCAATGTTTCTGATTTTGTTTAATTTTGTTTGGAAAATGTTTTGATGTATTTGATAAATATTACCTAAAAATGTACCTAGCGTGAAAGTTGCTAGTTTTAACACAAGAAATGAGTCCACAGACAACTAACCAGCTCAACTAACCCAAACTAGCTACCCTAACCAATAGCTCATTTTAGTCTAAATTTGTAACCCTTTGCCTATTCTGGTGCAGTTTATTTATTTTTAATTTTTGTAAATTGTCTTTTAAATGTTATCGAACTATTTAGAAATTATTTAATTATTTATTATTGAGCCGTCTCTGAGTCTCTCCCGAGGAGCTTGTTTTCACGAGCTTTAGGAGACCTGGGAAATGTTTTGCAGCATCTTTGGAGAAAATCGAGACTCCACACTCACACTCTCACCAATGCAATACGTCTCTTTTGGAATTAAAACTGAGGGAAATAACTTTATTTTTTATTCATACGCGAAAGGCTGCATATATCTGTTCAGAAATACAGTAAAACAGTAAAATTGTGAAATGTTTTCTATTGATGGCAGTTGAATTTTCAGAAGCCGTCAGTCTTCAGTCACGCAATCCTTCAGAAATCATTCTAATATGCTGATTTGCTAATTAAGTATCATTTCTGATTATCACTGTTGAAAACAGTTGTGCTGCTTCATTTATTTAATCAAAGTATTACAGTTTTTTACGATTGCTTAAGCACAATTTTGAAAACAGGGCCCGGTTTGTCAAAACACTACACACAATTAACACAACCCTACACCAAAGTAGCACAACACTTCAGATCATTTGCAAAATGGAACACTTTTGTCAAAACTATACACAACTTTATAAAAACAATATTTTGTTTGTGTGTGTGTGTGTGTGTGTGTGTGTGTTTGCTGCTTAATATTTTTGTGAAAACTGTGACACTATTTTCAGGATTCTTTGAGGAATAGAAAGTTCATACAGCATCTTTTGTAAATTTAGAAATGCTTTGACCATCACTTTGGATCAATTTAGTGCATCCTTGCTGAATAAAATTAATTTTTTAATTAACTTGTTTTGTCTTTTTTTTTAACCCCAGATTGTTGAATGGTATCAAGGTTGCCACAAAAATAGCATGCAGCAAAAACTGTTTTCAGCACTGCCAATAAAAAGAAATGTTTCTTGAGCGGCAAACGATTTCTGAAGTATCATATGACACTAAAGATTGTAGAATGGATGCTGAAAATTTCACCTTTGCCAAATAAATTAATTAAAACAATCAATGACATGAATGTATTGCAAAATAAATGTCTGTTAAAAAGAAAGATGCCCCTACTGAGTAGTTAAAGCATCACCTGCATGCTAACCAACCAAACTTCAGCCTCCTACTAGATACTTTATCTGCCCTGTTTCTAGATAGAAATACAAAATTATGAATGTATCATATGTATATACAGTAATAAATAGAGATCTTTTTTAACCTCAAATAGTTGCTCTTTGACACCCCTGAGTCTCACTGCTCTACAGAGACATGTTTTATCAAATATGATTAGCAGCTACAAGTGTAAGTTCTGCTTTTCATATAATTTAAGTTCCTGCGGTCAGCGATATGCATCCAGCGAGCATGCAGGACTGAGGGCTGTAATCTTCCACACTCATGTTCATAAGATGATAAACGCTTGCCCACAGTATTATTCTGACCCTCGATCCTCCTCTAAACTGCAGGTAGGTCTGGGAGGATCTAGTGTCTATCACAGATTGCAGTCGTGATCCCGGGGTCTTGGTGTTTTTTGTGTGATGCCCTCAGCACTGTCAGGTCAGTGCCTGTGAGTCCAGAGCTGATGCTCTTGGGCAAAGATTGCCTTGTAATGTTCATTATCTGTTCTAGCTCTTCTGATGACCCAGAGCAGAGCTTTCTGCTCTTCTTTCACACTGAGGCCCTGGCAGTTGAAAGGAATATTCTGGATTAAATACAAAATGTTCCATAATGCTTAAAGGGGTCATATGATGCGATTTCAATGTTTCCTTTCTCTTAACATACCAGAATGACAATGACTCCCAATACAGCGCTTTGATCTCAGGCCTCCCATTTGCTTCAGCATTCAAGAATTCTTTTCAAAACTCTTTTTTACATTAAATAGTAGTGTCCATAGATTAATATTAGTAACTAATTAAAAATTACATAATAAATATATTAAAATTAAAATAATTTTTTTGTATTTTAAAGGGATTGTTCACCCAAAAATGTCAATTCTGTCATCGTTTACATCGGATTTTAGTTGTTTTAGCTTATTTGACATGATAACATCTTGTTTCAAGGAAATGCATTTAAAAGGATTTAACGTGGAGCAAGCATCACTGACATGAAATATGTTGGTTACATTGGTTCTGACAGGAAATGATAGTTCTTAATTCTTAATTCACAAGATTCAAGCAACATTTTTTGCCACATTTCTTCTCCAGTTGCACTAAACTTCCATTGTATGTGTGTTACTATGTTTTTCGTTTGTTTTTATGAACTGAAGCATAGTTTGAAAATTATTTTCCATGGCAATAGCGCTTAAGCTGAATTTAAGACAGAATGTTCTTTAAATGTGTCTGTTTAGCGGAGGAATTGGGAAGAAGTGTTTGTGGGTTCTTGAGAGGCTTGTGAAGGGCGAATTGATGGAAAATCTCCGTGACTAATGTCTGGGAGCGGTCACGCAAGTGTCAACATGTATCTGCGCCTCTCCGCTCACATTACAGTTTTTTACGATTGCTTACACACCAAAATTAAACTTTTCCAACAATTAGCAAAACCTTACACTCAAGGAGCAAAACACAAGGCTAGATTGCCCAGCGTGCAGGAAAAGCTTTCCAGATTTCACAGCACATAAATTCACCAGTTTAAGCTTTTCTTCGGATTTCAGCTCAACACGGCCAGACAGGAATTTGTGACACTTTTATAACTCATGCTTTTTAGGGTGGAGACGTCATCAGTGCTTGAAACAAACACTCTGTGTCTAATGGGAGTCTCATAATTAAAGGCACAATATGTAATTTTCGCCGCTGGAGGGCGCGTATTCAAAATAAACAAAGAGGCAAAGGTGTAGTTTGATGACGCCGTGACTGAGTGTGGAGTCATGGGAGTTGTGGTCTTCATCCCCACAGCCGATGCAATCCGACGGGACTCGGGCAGAAATCATGTTCATGGATGAGCTAATGATTTGTTAACGTAGTAGAATGAAGCAGGGTGAGGCTGAAAGCCGTCGAAGTGAAACGAGGCCGCTGAACAAGCGTGACACACGGCTGGAAAGCAGCGGAGCTTTTATTATGCCACAGTCGAGCGCATCCGCTGCTTCCGGTCGTGCGTATGTGGGGTAAAGCAGCGCTGTTTTATCATACTAGATACATTTGAAAGTTCTGTTATAATGCTACTCTGTGCGGTCGTCACCGGTCTATTAAAATGCACAACATATTAAAGCGTCTTTGGTGTTTCCATGTTTTCTACAAAACACAACCGGAAATCGATGGGTTATGATGTAATTAGCAGGCGACACAATGACACTAGACATGCTCTGTGTCACTAGTTAAAATTGCTTACTTCTCTGGATTTAAACATTCTTCGAAATATTTGGGATAATGTAAGTACACAAGTCAGCAAAATATATAACACTGTTCTAGTGGTTTTTGGATATTTTAATAAAAAAATCTTACATATTGTGCCTTTAAATAATCTTAATGAATTCGGGATAAAAACATGCCCAAAATAATAGTCAATCAATGAGATGCATCACAAAACAGATTTTGGAGAATGTGTATTTAAAGGAATAATTTACTCAATAGTTTACTCAATGAAATCTATGTCATCCTCATTAGTTTTTCTCCTGTAGAACACAAAATGATCATGCTGCTCTTTTCCATACAATGAGCTTACAGTTTTTCTCTATTGCTTAAAACGCATCTCTTGAAATTATGCCTCTTTTTCTCGGAACTCTAAACACA